AATTGCAAAAATGCATGACTGAGTACATTATTGAAACTAAGTCTGTAATGGCAATAGAAACCACTAAGGAAATATTTCAAAAATTGCAGAGAGTCATGACATAATGAATCTTCCTTGTCATAATCTTTCTTGCTTGAACATAATATGATTGATATTAAAGTAAAACTTGTCAAAAACTTGCATATATTTTTCATTTTATTTTTTAATGTATGATGAATGATTGAATTGATCAAAATCAATAATAATAAATTCAATCTAGTTGATGTTTTCACCAAAGTGATATTTTCAAATTATCATTTCTCATTTCAAGTTTTGCATAAGAATATAAAAAAAATAGAAAAGCAATTTTGTTATCTCCCTACATAATGATAATTTATCATATTCTTATGTGACTAAATTTTTCTTTTTTTCAATTTACAGAATACTCTATGTCTTATACTTTTTGTACTATTTTTTACACTTATCATATAGGATTTGGAGATTAGAAAATTTCAAGATATAAATTAAGTAACTTAAATTTTGATTATTTTTGATAATTTTAATCATTGTAGTGAGTACATTTAATCTGTTACTAATCTTAGCTATTATTAACATAACTAGAGTTTTCAATATCATAATATTGTTTACATAAAGACAAGAAAGTGAAACATGTATCTAGTGTGTTGGTTGTGTGTGTGAGGAAAGTAGGTTTTGTGGATGTTTGTGTTCAAGACTAGCAATCTCAAACAAGCAACATATATTTTATGTTGTTTCAGTCATATATATATTGTTGATAATTAATCACTACACTTTTATACAAATACTTAGTTACATTTGTGTGAATCTAATCTAAATATCAAATGTAATGTAAAATTTGAGATCAATGTATCAAACAAGCAATTTTTAAAAGACTTGAGAGGAATTTTTATCATCATCCAAATAGACGTAGAGTTTAAATCATCCAAATATTCATTGATTAAATTTTTTACATTAAATAATCATTATTTGATTTTTTGTAAAAAACTTTGATTGGAAAAGTTTAAGATTCAAATATTGTAATGATTAGTCAATCATTCAAACAACACATTATTCATTTACATTTTGAAAATCTGTAGTCAACTCTTTAATCTCATAAGCAGTATGAATATGGAAGTTAGATCAAAATTTTAGAAGATTGACATGGAAACATGTTGAGCATTGAAATTAACTTTTGCAAGTCAATTCATTGATTTTTGATTAATATGTTGGAATTTTACATTAATCTAAACTTGCACACAGTAATGTTGATGCTTTAACTTATTAGACAGGACAAAAAAGTAATTTCATACATGTACCTGACAAAATTTATCTCTTTGTAATGCTTATATGAGTGATGTGGATGACCTTCAAAAGGCTGAACACTGGCTTGGCTAACTGACCAACATTTACGTCTTGGAGGTATTTGGTTCATGACCTTTGGCAACGAAAATATATGAGCTTTTACTGTAAACCGGTTGGATTTCCGATTCCCCGGAGTAATGTGCCGCATTTGCCAAAAGAAAGGAAATTGAAAAAAGAAAAAGAAAAAAGGTAATTTGAAAAGAAGATCGCAACTCCTTTGAGTGAGCATTTGAGTTGAAGATTCGTTGACCACCACCGGAATGACCTACAGACCATGCGCTGACCATGTTGCAGTGTGCCCGGCCCAGAAACACAGTTCGCGACAACTCAGCACGTCGTTACTCCCAACTCTGACTTAGCCCGCCATGTCATGCCAGATAACTACTTTCACGTGCCCATGCAAAGGAGCGCTAAATTTGTGTCGGCATGATTCAAACTAAAGCGCATTTGAATCGACCGAGAAGCTAACCGCTTTCAAAATTTGGAATGTATGGGCAGGCGAGACGGTATTGCAGATACCGATTCAAATCAAATTTCAGTAGAAATGGACTTGGCATTTCGGTATTGAGCAGTCAATTGTGGGTTTTTAATTCCCACTGTAACTGAGCCAGACGAGTACACTTCATTTTGGCTCCATTTCCGGTCGGATGAACTCCTAGAATGTGAACAAAATGGGGCACTGCGAAGCTTTCGAGATTGTTTTTTTGTCTTTGGTGTCACATGTTATTTTGGTCTCTGGTGATACAATGATGAACTGGAGTTTTATATCATACACTTTTATTTATTGGATCCTAGACTGGTAGCCGTATTATTTCCATCCTTGTAATACTTGATGGGTTTCCATACGTCTTCCTTGATTCCCTTGATTTTTTTTCCCTAAATTTAGAGAAAGTATAAAGCAATAGATTGAGAATTATTTCCATTCAGCGCGGTTTAGACTGGAGGCAAGAGCTGAAGCAAGTCAAGAGCAAGGCAAGAGCGTTTATGGGGCCAGCATAGCAAAAAAATAATTGTACATGGACTCGAATTTTGATTTACTTCAATTAAGCATTTGTGTATTTGACTGATGGAAGATTTACACAGTTCAAAATCCCCACTTTGGTTAGAGGCGGCACCGGAGCCACTCGTTTCCAACTGAGTTAGGCCTTTTAACACTTCGCACTTAGCCGTAACGAACGAAACAAGCTGCCTTTACCTGCTACTAATCCGGCACAATATTCGGTAACTCTGATTGTGACCAGACCTCACGCATTAGCCTAATTTTCAGTTTGAAAGCCTCGGTACGATCCCTGTACGCTGTTCATGTTTGAATTATGCCTTTCCCTACTCCATGTGAACCAGATATGTCTATTGTGATTGTTTTGTATTAGTTTAATAATCTAATGTTGAGAATTTTTTCCTTCAAATGGAATTCATCTTAACGAAATAGTTTTAAATCAAGTAAACGTAAGTTGTTTCGTGCATGCGGAAGTTGTAGTTTTCATTATAGATAATATTAGTATTTTTTTCCAGATATAAATCTATCTAATTGATTATCATGATATAATATGATAGAATTGGTGCTGACGCTCATACAACACAAAACATAGGGTTTTCAGTAATGTCATTTTCGTGTTTCTATGGACATAGAGAAATATTTGTTTTCTCTCGAAAGAATAAACCAGACTATGACGTGAATAAACCAGACTGTGACGTTTTGATTTGACCACTATACGTGGTCAAATCAAAACGCATATTATTAAAATGCATGGTAGTCTTAGAATGAAATTTAGCCTGCATGAAATGAATTTTATCCCTCAATTTCAAACATTGAAAGTTCAAAACCATTTGACTTATGTCAGCACTTAACTTGTCAGATCTCATCCTATTTTCAGTGTTCAGGAACATGTTCAGATCACAACTCTTGTTTCAGAATAGAGACCAAACATGCAATTGAAAGAAGTGACAGACCATTTTACAAAACAACAGTATTTTTTTGCCGAACAATATACTTCACAAATATTATGTAATCATATAAAAGATATTTGATCGTTTGCATTTAGAATTCTTTTGCCCATGACAGAATCTCCGCGTAATGGTTTTATAAGAGTAACCTCACTCTGATTCCATAATAGTGATGCATATGCAACAATATCACCAAATACAGATCATCTACTTCTTGAAAATTTGTTGTGGCCTTAATCACTTAATTGATCACACTTTTAGCAATATTTTGAGGCTCAAAATATTTTGAATATTTTCAAACAAGTGTGCAACAAATACATAACATACTTAATGCTTGAAAGCTGATGCCCGTTAGAATGCGTATATTTTGAAGCTTACACTTCTCACTAGACACATCAATCAACACCGCACATGCAGAATATCAGCCCGGCTTGTACAGATCAGTGATGGTAGTCCCATCCTTTTGGCTACATCACTTGGTCTCCCTTCGTGTCTGACGTACACATGAGCTTCTGACGAGCACTTTGACTTTTACGGAATAAAATAAAGAGGAGGAGTCGGCACGCTCTTCGTACAACGACCACATTTGCCAAAATAGTCTTGACAGATGCCTAAACCAAAATAAAGTGGCTGGTGGGCAGAGGCCCAAAGTCCTGATTGCAGAATTCAGAGAAGAGAAGAAAAAGAAGAAAAGGAGAATTCTGCGCTCATTTCCATGCTACAGGATGCGATTCGACTGCCAATATGCGCACACGGTCAGAAAAGGACACAACTGCAAAGAGTTTCGTATTCTGCCTGAGACCTTGACTGCCCCCCCACAACGGTCACATACGTTCGACCACGTTACCGTTGAATGAATGTACGCGAACGAACGGGGCCCGAATGCGCAGCCGCGTATCGTCGTGCGCCTCCTCCCGCTGGAAGGACCGCTAAAGTAAGCGGCGCGGCCTCCTCCTCCTCCTCACGCCGTCCAGAGCTCCAGTTAGCGCCATCACCGAACTGGAGGAGCTCGGAGAGGCTGCCTGACAACGGACTCGTGGTCGTGGTGGGCCGGCTTTCGAACCAACCGGAGACCCAGAACGTGTGCCCGCTCTGGCTCCGGCCCTGCGTTCCGAGTGGTTGCGAGGTGACCGACCGCGGCCTTCGGTGTCAGCATTGAAGTCCATTTTGGCGACGCAGCCAAAGTTAACACCCTCCGCGTAGCGCGGCGCTCGGGTAGCTATACGACAAGCGACGAAGTCGGAGAGATAGAAGGAGGGAAGGGAGGGCCGACAAGATCCAGCCGTCGACGGCGAGAAAGTCCGAAACTACGTTACCGGCGACCGACCAGTGAAAGGAGTTGGGCTTGTTCATTCGCTTTCCGTCTCGTGGCTCGAGGCGATGAAAAACCAAAGTCGGGATCTCGGGCGCTCGGAATCGCAATTGTCGAGTGGGGCGGATCTGGCGTGCCACGGCGGATCGTACACCAAGGACCTGGAGAATGTTGGATAATGAATGGTCGTTTGGAAACGTCAGTCTGGCCGGGCTCCACCGGCACCGACGTGTGCGGCGCTTCCACGTGGGAAAGCGGTCCGACTGGCACGATCGGTCCGACGACCGGGGCTCCGATGTAGCCGTTCGGGAGGTGAACCACTGGCGCGGGCTGGGTCGTCTTATGAGCGGGGCGGGTGCCGCCGAGCCGTTTATTTCGTCGAGGCAGGAAGGAAGGAAGGCGTAGCAGAGGAGAGCAGCGCAGCGCAGAAGAGGAGAGGATAGGAGAGGAACTGCGCCGGGGGTACAGATTGCGTCGATCCATGTCGTAGAGGTGCAGAGAGGCAAGTGCTGCAGGGCCCACATTGTCACATTGTGGCGGTGGACGAGCGAGCGAGGGACGGGCGATTGATGTGAGGGAGTGATGTGAGTGAAGTGAGTTCAAAGCTTCGCTCGCTCGCTCGCTACTCGACGACCAACCGACCGACCGACAGACTGCGGTATTGCTCGTTCGCACGGTGCTGAATTATGCTCTGCAGCAGTCTGATCGCTGGACGAGGGGGAGATAGATAGATGCGAGGAAAGGAAGGCATGCAGGCAGGCAGGGACTGAGGTCTTGCCCATTTCAGGAGGTGACGGGCAGGCAGAGCATTCTCGCGACAGCTCCTCGAGGGCAGGACGAGGGCCGAGTGACTGAGTGACTTACTGGAAAGGGATCGGAGTTGGGAGGAAGATCGTCGTCAGAGAGCAGGCGAGGCAGGCTGCATCGCAAGACCATCTCGCCGGGGCAGTCGTTTAGATGTCGGAACTCATAGCCCAGGGGTTCTTCGCTGAGGGGATGTTAGACTGATTCATACTTGCCCGGGCGTCTTAGCTCTGTTCAGCTTCGGTCTACATTGTGTTTTACGAAGCAAAGGTAAGGCCGAAATGTTGCGTTGTTCGTGCACGAAAACGGCGACAATGGCTTGTGTTACTGCCAGAAATGTCTAGTCTGTCAATGCGAACTCTTTATGCATCCCGACTGCTGCCTAACTGAGGTCCTGTACTCTTCGTCGCGATGGAGATTTATATATTTGTTAGGATTGTTATCAACGGTTAGCTGTGGTGAGTACGGCATTTGAAGTCTTCTGGAGCTCGTCTCTATCTGAGCCTGAGCCTTGCGAATGCAACAAGTGTGTCCCTCATTCGTGGATTTATTATTCCCAAAGCAGTTTCTGCCCTGGGCTTGCTGACATGTGTATTCTGGATCTCTGCCACTGTCGCAGGCTTTGGAAGCCAGAGAGGAAGGCTCAGGCACAACGACGGGTAGTGAAGTGTGAACAGAATGGGTATTACGGTGGCAGTGAAGCTGGAACATCTTGCGCTGCCGAAGATTTTGACGAGTGCGAATGCAGATCACTCCGGTTTGGTTTTGGTACCGAACGTAGATCATTATGGCACCGTCAAGGATACGGTGAAGAGTTTCATTAGAAACAATTTTTTCATTGCGGATGAACTCCAAGTGATCCAGGCGCCGCTATTCAGGAAACTCGGCGAGAAAGAGGGTGTGGAAGACATCTACAAGCGCTACGCGTGTCAAGCGGACATCGAAATATCAGACATTCACCTCGACGAGGACAATTACTCGTTCTTCGCTCGAGAAGGCGGCCGCACCGTCGAGCTGGAGGAAAATCAAAAGTTGGAAGATTATCACATTCTTGACAAGACAGTCCTGCAGCTGAGGGTGAGATGGCATGCCTGTTTATTTGTAGCTTGGTCGTCGAGTGGGAAGTCATAGCAACTCTCTTGAGACGGCAATGGCAGAACCATTTTGCTTACAAATTTTGTATCGGCTCTTGTGTGTCCGCGCAGAGACTGCCGCAACCCTTGCCAGAGGCAGGAGGTCGTATCTTTGTTGAGACCAAGGATGGCATTCTCCCCCTGCTGCACGTCACTTACCAGACGCAGGTCATAGAGTTGAAGCATGCTCTGGAAAGAATGACCGGCATTCCTGTCGACAAGCAGCTGCTGTCGACGGTCGGGCGTGTCATGCACGACGATTTCCAAATGAAAGATTTCGAAGGACCGCACCGAGTGTGCGAAGACTCCACGTTGGATCTTTGCAAGTCAGGTAGAGACCACACGGCCACCGCCTGGCAATTATCTCCGATTGATCCCGCCACTTGGATTTCTCAGAATGTCTCGGTGTGTCGGTGAGATTAATTCTGTGTTTGCTTATGTGTCTTAGGTGACAGTAATGCCGAACAAGGACACAAACGAATGGTAATATATATCAGCGTGATGGGAGAGCAAACCATCACGATGGTCGTTCAAAGCCGTGATTTGGTTCAATCGATACTGCAAGTAGTGGAGGCCAGAACTGGTGTGGCCACCTGGCAGCAGCGCATAACTTTTTCCGGTCAGTGAGTCTTCAACTCTTTCACAACCTTCGGGAATACTTCGTTCAGCAATACCAGCTTCTATTTTGCCAAATGTGCGTTAAAAGCAACTGATTGATGGTCTCGTTTATTATGGTACGATAGGCAAAGTATTGCAGGAGAAGAAGACATTGGGCGAGTATTACGTGCATCCTGAGTGCACTCTGCAGATCACCATCTTTAGAAGTCCTTGCAAGCCCCCACAGAAGTTCGTCAATACACTGCACTCCAGTGAAAATTCAGGTGGGTTTCATTCATTAAGCGAGTTGCCTGCACGCGCGATGATTTACAAGGGTTACATCCAGACTGACTTAGACAACGAAATTCGTTTCTCAGAAATTGATGACGGATGTCGTCGGCAGAAGGGCACACAATCGTTGTCTCTCCAGTTGCTGTGGATTAACTCTCATTGGCCTTCAGGTATGGACGAAAATAAACCAGCGGCCAGGAAGATCAAGCTTCTTCGAACTAGCAAGGGGCGCCAAAATGGGAGCATCACAATTCCCGTTCTCACCACCGACACTGTATCTGATCTAAGACGGAAAGTTCGGCGGACGCTGCAGCCTTTGACGGAACGAAATTTTCTAGTGATGCACGGTCCGGCGGCTGAAACCAATGGCGGGTCAACGAAGCCGAGCCCTTCTTCCAGCAGCAAAGGCGGCGAGGGTGGCGGCGGGAGGAGATTGTCGAGAGTGCTCTCGTTTACTGGCAAGACCCTCTCTGGCCAGGTTTCGAACGCGACGAGTCCATCGATTTCTACGACTGGCTCCGTGTGTGCTTCACCTGAGGGCTCTGTGAAGGGCAGCGGTACCAAACCACTAGCTGCCCGCATGCTTTCAATGAAGAACTTCTCCGGTCCTCTTCTTCCCAGTCCCGCCAAGGGTGCGCAACCATCTTCCACTCCGCCCACGTCCTCTGATCGCACCATCAAGGACTCTTCCGACAGTGCCGGTCAAGGAAGTAGCACCAAGTCCAGTGCTGCGAGGGCGCTTGCATTCAAAAATTACTCTGGTCCTCTTGTTGTCAATCCCAACAAGGGTGTACAACCTACAGCCGCGCCACTCTTCCCTCCTCCGCTGAAATCACCACGAGAAGCCGCTTCTCCTGCCAAGCCTTTCGGAAGCAATGGAGTGAACACCGCAGCTTCAGGAGGCCAGTTCACCGGATTCAAAGGATCGGCACCGAAGAGAACCGGCGAGAACGAGCAACCATCTCTCGCCGGCTCGCCAAAGAAGTTTGTACATACGAGACAGGATTCCATGTCCTCGAATGCAGGAACTACGCACTCGAGAGCTCCGTCAGTGGGCTCCATCCACTTCAATCCCACCGAACTCCATTCTCTTCCGGAACCCTGTGAACCTATTCCCTTGCCAGAAACACCTCCCAGTGTTATCAGCCCGACGGCCCGAGTTCCCACGTCGAGCAAGAAAATGAATCAACCCGGCCAAGGCTCCGAGAAGAAGGGTCTAGGGGCTTGGTTGTCGGACAGCATGCAGACATTGAAGGAGCACATCAGAGCACCTTTCACTGAAAGGTAAGGAGAGAGCTTTGGTATCTTCTGTAGATACTGGACAAGCAGCGCATCGAGAGGAGGTTTTCTCACTTTCACGGCATACAGGGTATCTACGTCTCCTGGAAGATAAGATTCCTGTTCCTGTCCTCTTACCGGCAGCGGTTTCCTGACACAGTGAACCATCTGAAGATGCTCCACAATTCATCTACTGTAACCTGCAGTACTTTGGAGCCCGTACAAGAGGTTCCACTGCAAACGTAGAAAGACCAGACTGACCAAGGATGGTACGAATTTTGTTAGGTTTCACATGAGCGAGCGTCCTTCGTAATTTTATCCGTGTAGAACCGTATAGAAAGATGTAGAATGTATGTGATTGGGAAAAGATCTGGCGTAAAAAACCTCCTTTTCTTTCCATAGGAAAGGAGAGGAGAGTACAGGTGGTGGGTCATCGAGAAAATGAGGCGCTTGCTTGTTGGTCAGACGTAGATGTAAAAAGTCAGCTTTAATTAGTTAGTTTTTAGTGCATAATGTATATATTGTCAGTGGAGCGGAAACGTAGACGATCGTTGTAGAATGTTATTTCGCCAGTTTTGAAGTGAATTTTGAACACATTTTTGTATTTTACCCATTCTTCGTTTTCAACCGAAACGAAAGAACAAGTAATGAAATAGTAATGAAAATGAACAAGTATATCAGATAAATCTAGCATCTTCTTCTACTAGTGAATTCTCTTCTCTACCCAAAGTGAGTCCAACTGTCGCGCCCAAGATATTGAATCTCGCAAAATCTAAACAAGAGAAGATTAACGATGATACCCAAGGTCTGACTTTGCCGGGCACTGCTCTGCAACTGACATTCTGAACCGAATAAATGCCTTTCAAACAAGAAAAGAATACGATACGAGAACATCAGATTTACTCATCACACATCATCCATGGCCGGAGTCATCATGTGGTCCATCAGCTGAGAAATTGCCGCTTGTGAGTCCGCCAGACGGTTATTTATCTCCTTGCTTACAGCATCAACAGAGTGTAAAAGGTCGATTTCTCTCTCCCATTTGTCTATTTGCTTTTGATGCAGACTGAGTTCGTAAGTTAAGAGTCACTTTTGTCCACATTAATTTTGCAGTCCAAGAAGAAAAAAAATAAAATTATAAGATTGGAGACTGGAGGATACATTACGACTTGTTTTTCAAATGCCGATGCAGCATCTAGGAAGTATCTTTTCCCTTCCTCGAGCAAGCCCGAAACCTACAAGTAGACGACGACGACGCCGGTTAACGATGACATGTTGCTTCAGAACGTCAGATCAACTTCCCAAGCCACACATTAAATTCCCGCTTAGTAACGAGTTTCTTAGGCTGACTTCTCAACAAATTTTCAAATGGGTGTTGTGCCAGATGTTGCCGGACGGACATGCTGATTAAAGAGCTCCATCTTCTCTCGGATGCTCTGGACCTTTAGCTCCACTCCGTCGGATGTGACCTTATAATCTCGTCGGCCTTCTAATCGTTGCTCCGAATCATCTTCGTCCGTGCTCCCATTCTCACCTTCGGACACCTTCCGATCACTGGTCTCCTCTTGAGTATCTTCTGGCACAATCTCGTCAAATCTCTTGCGCTTGAGAGACTCAGTCTCAGCAGACGACGACGATTTGCGTTCCTCCATGTTCTCTTTGCCGACCTCGCCCGACTCCGTCTCGCCTTAATACGCTCTCGAACTCATCGATCCCTCGACTTCGCTGCCCGGCGGCGCACGAACGGTCTTGACCCATTTGAAATCGTTTTCGAATTCCAGGCCGTGTAATGGGAGAAGCTTTTTCGGCAAAGATAGTATGGACGCGCCAAATGTTCACCCGGCACTTTGTGGATTCTTCTCCGTAGAGTTCTGGACTTCCGGTTGACGGGAGGATAATTACTGTGACGGAAGAGTGGCGGATGGACGTACACCTGGAACAACGGATGGAAATGTGAAGTCAAATCGCGATTGTGTTTCCGGCTTGATGCGGAGAGGAGCCATTGCCCGACATTGCGTGAAAAATGGAAAATGTTGCTCAAGTATATTTCCGGAAGTAACACCGGCTTCGATCAAATTCGAGATGAACACAGACCATCGAAGTTCGTTGTATGCCAGCAGTCAGATTAAGAAGACAATCGTCAAATTATACGAGAACGTCACAAAGCAGAGTGCTGCACAAAAGTGCATTAGGAAGAATATAATAGAAAACGGAATCTGTTCTATCGTGCATCATCTGTGGAAGGAAGTAGATATATCTTGAACTTGTCCAATCTGACTAGAATAACGCGATACAAAAAATTAAATTTCATCAAGTATATTATCCTTGTGACTTCAAACAAGACCTAGATTTATCCAAGTAATTTTAGTATGCACAAAAGATTTGGAAATCCAGAATACTTTTCTACTTTTGTTGCGAAAAATTGTAAGAAATTTTTTTTTTTTTACCAATTAATCTAATATCAGCTCAAGGTAAATTTTATTTTTTCAAATCTTGTGTAGGTAGTTTTACCATTTTCATATCAATGGCATGATAACTTACAGAATTCAATATTTACTTGTAGGTTTTATTATTCATATAATGCATAAATATATAATATAGAAATTTTTAAATGATAAAAAAATTTCATAAGACATGTCAATTTTCTCAATGTTCATTTTACATTTTTAAATTCATAAAACCATTTATTAAATTGATATTATGAATTTTTTAAATGTAAAAATGGTATGAGCAAATATTATAAACAATACAACTGGGACAAGCTAAGATAATTCAGCAACCTAACTGCTCACAAAATCTAAATAAATTAACTTTGTGGTTGTATGCATTAACATGTATAATAAAAGGTCAGAGTCCAAATCCTTGGATCCACCTGAATTGAAGTTCAATGTGATTTGAAATGTTCTTTATTCCGGATTCCTAGAAAGTATGACAATTAAATGATGATTCAAAGCTATTCAGTATTATCGTAATAAAAATTGATATTCCGGTGTAAACATACAGTTTTTACGTAATGAAAAATATTTAGATAAATTCAATAATATTTCCTAAAAACGGATTTTGTGAAATAATTTGCGCATTTGATCTTTTCTGGTAAAAAGTTTCCATAGTGATCAAGTCGAATATCGTGTCGCTGATAATCTAATAATATGAATTTAAGAAGATTCAATGATCTTCATTTCGGTATAATGATTATACCGAAATGAAGATCATTGAATCTTCTTAATAGACTAATTCACATTATACTATAATGTGAATTAATGTATCCATTGATCTATAATCTCTTGCATATAAATCGAAATTCTCCATCCTGTATTCAAAACTTATGAATGTCATGTCTCCTAAAAATACAAACTCAACTCAAAGAACTTCGAGTTGGCCTGCCCATGGGCACGGTTCCGAACGTTGTACAGCTGCTTCCGGTTCGCGACTGTGGTTGCAGTTGATGGTTTAGGCCTCAGGGTTATGAGAAGAACGAGCCCGAACCACGAGGCGAAGCTTGTTGCACAAGCTTGGAACGGAGGGAGGAGGATAGCCAGCCAGCGTGGCATCGGAGGGGGTCGTCGTAAGAAAGAGTCGAAAGTTCGTTCGAAGTCTCGGAGCTTGTTGCGCAAGCCTGGAGCGGACGAGAGCCAACGTGGCATGGGAAGGGGTGCTGACCGAAAGTGCCGAGAGGGCCGAGAGCTCGACCGTGGCGCCAAATCGGCTTCGGAGCGATGGGCGTCGCGAAGGCATGCGCGCTAACGGGCGCTGCCAGGCACCGCGGCCTGCGGTCAGTGAAAGCGGCCGCCTTCAAGCGAGACGAGACGGCCGCGGGCGCAGAGTCGCCCGCTTCTTTGAGGCTGGTGAGACTTCTTCCTCGTTCAATATCTTGTTTGTTTCGATTTCTCGCTTTGCATCTGCTTTAATTTGATCTCGTTGTCGTGATTTCGATGTCGATGTTCCTGATGTAAGATTGGGGAATTCTTGAGCAGATGAAACGAGGACTCGCTGCGAAAGCTCTGGGTGGGATGAAATTAAGTCAAGTGGCCACCCCTTTAGGACCTCTGTCCTTGGGAGTCTCGGACGCTGGTCTGCACATGGCGTATTTTGACACTTGGTGGCGGGAGAGTGCCGAGGAGGATACCGGGAACGGGACAGCCGATGCGTTCATGAGGGAGGTAGGTGATTCGTTTTGAGGACAAAAGAAAAGACTCCTCCACTTTCCTGTGGAGACTTATGCATCGAACACGTCTTCTCTACTTGGTTGAGGTGTTTTTATTCAGATTGAGAGTTCAGAATTGTAGCTTCAGGTGTTTATCAATTATTCACAAAAGTAGAAGCTTGGTTGGAATTAGTGCTTATCCTCCTTCTCTGGTCATCACTCAGGTCCACCATTTCATGGGGAATGACGAATTTCGTCCTATAGCTCATTGTTTTCATTGTCTTCAGCGTTTGTCCATCTGATTCCATAATTTTGGCAAGAGCAGTATATAACACTTATATCTCAGATTACAAAGAAGAAGGCATAGCCGTTTCACGATTACCATGCTTCTTGAGTGTTGAAGTTATCGGAACAACCAGCTTTTTACTTTTGGTCAGCTTGAATCAGTTGTGGTGAGCTTTGATCTCCAAAGATTGCCGACTCGAGAATGAAACTGATTCGTATAGCTCAGTCAGTAACATACTCACTACTCTGCAAAGGATCAAGCACAGTGAGACAACATGTCAACATGCTCGCGCGAAAGCGTTGTCACAGATAACATGTCTTTCAGGCATCCATTTCGCTACTCATTGATGTACTTTCGAAGTTGAAAACTGCGAATTAAAGACTTCTGTGTATCCTGCTTCTGCAGGCAAAAGAGCAAGTGGGAGAGTACTTCGGTGGACATCGAAATACGTTTTCGATTCCTCTGGTTCCAGAAGGGACTTTATTTCAGAAGAAGGCCTGGGCGGCTTTGGAGCAGATCCCGTACGGAAAAACTGTCTGCTACGAGGAACAAGCTAAGCTGATGAACGAGCCAGGCAAGGCTCGAGCTGTGGGGGCTGCGAATGGGAAGAACCCCATATGCTTGTTCATACCTTGTCACAGAGTCATCGCTAAGGGAGGAAAGTTGTGCGGCTACGCTTACGGAATGGAGAATAAGAAGTTCTTATTAGATTTCGAGATGAGCAAGTCGACCATATAGGTTGGTGCACGGCTTTCACATATCATGGTCTCGTTTTCACGTCACCAAGTCTTAACGTCATAAAACCTTCTGTAAATAATGTGGATATTAATGAAATAATTTGGCAAAAGCTGGAAGGGGGATGTCTTTCTCCATGGAGCTTGTTAAGTAATTTCTTTCAAAGTTCATTTTTCATTGCATTCAAGGCCAAGTTCATCACAAGTATATAATCATTACATGAGGTCGCTAAGTGAATCAAGTCAGCGGTACATGCACCGCAACCATGTTCAAGATAATCAATAAGTAACTCATGTTCTCTGTACAGCAGGTTTTCTGACTGCTTGTGCACCACGTCTAGGATTGCCTAGAAACTCGCCAATATACTTTGCCTAGTTTACCGACTTTTTTCCGCCATTTGCAGTGATGGTGTTTCACGTGGACACAGCCTCTTGAGGTTTCAATCTTTTGAGAGCTGTCTGAACCAGTGAAAGTTGATTATCTTCTCACAGCCTGGCGAATGTACCCATTCTATTTGCATGGTGCAATCTGGCACCAAGGTGTCCAACCATGTTGGACATCAAACAATTAAAGCTACAAAGTCTTCAATGTTATTTGCCTACAACTTAGTTCAAGAAACCAGCGAGTCGAAGAGTGCAGACGCCCTTCCTTCACTTCTTTGTACGAGTGGGCTATATTTGATTGGCAGTGCAGTTGTCAGGAATCAGAGAAAACGGAAGGTCGAAATAGCGTCCTGACAATATCTGCCTGGCAAAGTAGCGGTTGGCTGCTTCTGTATAGTGATATCCATCCCATATGGTAAAATTAACGGGGTTTGGGCATGTTTGAGAAACCAGGAACAAGCCACCGTCAACTATGCCAGTCTCGCCGCATTGAACTTTATCGTTGAAGTTGTATGTGGAGGGAACTCCACAGCAAGATTGGATACCAACTGATATGCCTGCAAGTCATGACGATATACGTCGGAAATAAGGATATCTGACCCAGGTAAGAGCACTTGTCTAATACTCATCTGACGTACATGAAGCAAGTTTCTTTCAATTTCATGCAATGATTTATAATCAGCATTCAGCCAAGTGTATTTGCGGCCACGAGTTTCTCTAAGTTATACTCAATGAAGTTTCAAGGTAATCATAGGGAGGACGTGCTTCACAACAACGATGGAAGTGCTACATTCATCTCTTCTAGCTGTCTGATGTCCTGAAGAGAGTGAGATCAGGAAGGCTTACCGTTTTGCGTGTTGTTGAAGAGAAGATTGTGTTGCAGCTGATAGTTGTCCAGGTACACGATCGTGGCCAAGGGTAACTGAACCCTAAGATCAACTAGAGCTTGTTTCAGTTGAACGTTGTAGGAGCGCACAAGTGTATTGTAGGGTGCTAGGCATCCGAAGTTATCGAGCTGTGTGGCGTCGTGAGTAATCACAGTGAGCTGTACTGGCAAACATCCGATGGGACCAACACCTCCCACAATTATAGTTCTCGCTCCCTCATTGTAGATAGCCTACACATGAAGAGGCAGCAAATCAAACACTGCTAAGTGTGTCAGTAAGCTGAACGAACAGTGAGTGGCGACTTCATGGAGTGAATGTCAATCTGAGTCTACTGACAGAATTTTGAAATTGTGAACATTATAAGAGTACTGGAATTGAAAATAAGTTTAGCCCTTGCGGTATCCTCATTAGAGTCTGTATGACTAATTTAGAATTACCGAGCGAAAGCCTGTAAAGTTTTGTGATAACAGGTATGTGTGTGGACTCACTTTTACAGCGTTAGTGATCCCAGTCACAATGTCTGGAAGGTATGCTTCTATGTCGAGCAGAGTCTGTTGTTTCGCTATACCAGCGCTGAAGTCGCTTGTTCCAATTGAGATGATGTACAAACCTTGCTCAAAATACTCGGTCAAAGGAATCCTTCGTGCAGCTGTCAAACACATGCTTTTGATATATAAGCAGGTATCTCGATGCACAATCCCTCCCTTGCTAATTAAATCCAAGTATCAAGTAAGAAGTCTTAATCTGCTGTTCTGCCAAAGACTCAAGCCAGCAAATTCTGTTCGTTTAGACGTATTAACGTCTCAGCATTTCAAACGCAATAGGAGGTTTTAGTTGGCTACCTTCGAGAGCGATCTTCAACTCTGGATCTTGACTTGTGGTAGTCTCCACAGCTCCGCTGAAGCTATCGTTTTTTCCTCTAAAGAGTTCATCGTAAAGTTTCTTGTAAGGATGTTGGGTGGTGACTGCTACTCCTGCCGTAGATGCTTGTGTCGTAGTGGTACCGCTGGTCCCGTTTACGTATGGTTGAATCCCTCTTTTTGCCAGTAGTGCTGAGGTACCATTGATGATTTCAGTAACTTCTTTTTTGAACAATTGAAACTGTGTAACCTGTGTCGAAAGTGGGAACAACGTACGGTAATCCAGTACTCTTCGACTTGTTGCCCATGAGATTGCAAAATTTACCCCATTGGCGAAGTCTGAAGTGACCGACTGCATATACGGGTCCAGTAGCCTGAAACCAAACGTCTCCACTGCGGCAGCCACGGATATTTCTGAGTTTGCAAGTTTGTTGGATGTGCCTCATTCTCTTACTAACTTGCCAAAAATTGACTAACATTGAGGACATTTTAGTATATAAATTTATTCACTTACTTATAAAGTCGATGGTGAGTCGGCCGTCCGAGTATCTCGCACGTGGTTCATTGAAGTAAGTTTGTCCATACGGTAGATACTCGGCCGCTGTTTCTGTAGGAAATGCCGCATGGTTGCCACCCGTGTCCGAGGAGGAGTCTCCGAAGTTGAAGATAGCTGGAAAGCATGTAGCGCTGGCTTTGTGGCTACTCAGCACCAGCAGTAAGCATGATACTTGCGTGATGAGCTTCCACGAGCACCGCCTGCCACTTGGTATGGTCATCGTTTCAGGTGTACCGTACTGGAGTTGTGCACTTTACGTCTCTGTTGCACAGAGGCAGCCAAAAGCCGGTTGGTGAGTAAGTGAAGCCCATGGCCCACTGCTAGAGGGTACAAACTATCAGAACATCACGGTCGCAGGCGCGACAGTCAGTGTGAACAGAACTCTAGAAGCTCTGACAAGAAACAAAGACCTGCATCCTTCGACTGAGCGTGAGAAGTGGAGGAGCGTGGGTTGCTTTGAACCCCAACTGCGCACATTGAGAAGGACCAGGAAGGAATACAGGTACTTAGTGTGACAGAGTCGACCAGTCCCATCTGAGGCGAAGTTACTCGATCGAACACTTCAGCGATATAAAGCCCTAGCATTCTACAGGAAGATTGGCACATGATATAATATATTTCTAGAGTTTATTCGATAAATATCCCAATATTTACTGGCGACGAATATCAAGCGAGCTATATTTTCACACAGAGATGTTTCGAGTTTGAATTGATCCTGGACGGAGTGTTACGTACGAACCTTAGACGAAAGCAGAGCATCAAGAGGAAGAGAGGGGTCTTCTAAAAGAGGAGATGCTCTAACTTGCTACAATTTCTCTTAAACCTCGTGGGCATTTCATTGCGTTATTCTCTTTGTGTATCTATGCAATAAAATGTAAGCAGGTACAATTTCATGACTAAAATTTCATCCAATCGTTAGTTTCAGACCGATTCGGCAAATGATTATCTTGATAATATTCATTACACACTTATGACGTCTAATACAATCCGTCCATGGAGTTGACTTCCGAGTCCAGCTCCTGCTGCTGTGTGTCCCAATTCAGGTCAATTGCGATAACTTGGCTTCACCCTTCACTAGCCGACGGACCAACGCTCTCTTTCACTGATATTTGCGTTTCCGATTGCACCCCGAACGAAAATTTCTGCGACATTCCTCACATGACAAGAGAAAGTCTCTCGAGACGTTTATCCATTTTTTGGGAAAAATTTTCCGGATTAAGTCAAGGAGGAGTGCAGAATGCGCGGTCGGGATCAGGAAGACGAGTCAACGGAGAGACTCGAGTCGATTAGCTTCGTGCGTCACATTCAAGAGGCGAGTCGAAGAACGTCATGGGATGAAGATATTCTCGAGGGGAGAGGGATTCCACTGTGACCTGCACCTCGTGTGACATGTATACGAGGACATTGTTGGGACCTAATCCTGTGAATCTAACGGCACGATAGAAGGTTTCCTGGACGCTCATGTCAACCCTGACAAAAGCGTAAGTAGCCGAATTCAGTCATAGAGTGGTGTCAAATGTGCCATGTCCCGCTCACTGGAATCCAACTATCATATCTTGCACGTCGTCCCATCCTGCCTGGGAGGCACAGCATAAAAAGCAGCGGGCGAAGATCTTCACTCGTCTGTCACACTTTTCCTCCTCAAGGTGTAATAACTCTGATTTCACGTGAAACGAGAAATGCACTCGTTCTCTGTCTATCAGTGCGCTCTCGAGCTGGTACTAGCATGCTGAAGCACCGTGATCAGCATCCTCTCTGAGCCTACCTTCGAATAGTCTTCGACTCTTCATATTGTCGTCCTCTGGAGTCTCTCTCAGAAGTAAAGACCATCGGTGAGAGTCTGCGACTTCCGTTCGCTGATTGACTTCTGAACAGACAGTTCTGCTCTCGCTCATTGGTGCCACCGAAATTCCGCCGTATTGACGATATTCTCTCAGCCCATCCAAGGACTCGGAGTCTACAATTCCTCGACGAGGAGGAGGAGAAGGAATAGGAGTGAGCGTTCTTAGTGGCAGCATTACGGGAGGCAAGAGTCGTCATCAGAGTCCGCAAAGTTTCCTCGACTCCGCGTTCTCGTTCACAAACTTCAGCGCTTTCTGGAAGAGACGGAAGACGAGGATCCAGCCCGTGCTTGCAATGCATGTCGGGCGGAGGTGATTCGAGGGGCTGACAGTGGCAGAAATCACGCACTCGCATAACGGCGGGAGGAACAAGCCACTGACCCGATCGTAGACAGAATCGAGAGGAAGACAGAATCAAGAAGATGAATCGATATAACGATCCTTGAGCTCTCGAGGTTCGCTTCCTAGGGGTTTCAGGCAAGTCCCGTCCCACTGCAGCCAGCCAGCCGAGCGGTGACGACCCTCGGAGTCTTGAAGAGGAATGTTCCTCAGCTTGTATCAGAACGCGATGAACTTGTTTGTCAACACAGAACGAAACTGATCGATCCTTCGGCTCACCGAGTTTTTGGGGATGCGAGTCTATATACTTCAATTCGGACTACACCAAAGCGCCTAACATGATTCATGCACATGGACCCGCTCAGTGGCCAAACAGAGACTCGGACCACAGACAGCTCAATATACAAGACCCGTGTCAGAGTTGCACCTGCAGGCAGGCAGGCAGGCAGGCGAAGGTGTATAGAGTACGTACGTACCTCTCGTATGAGCAGTGCACATGAAGCCTTCCCGGTCCTCGAGACAATGCATTACTTGGCGTGATCCGCTCATCCGAGAAGAGTGCCAGAGCTCAGCTCAGACCGGTAGAACACTCATGCCCTCACTCATCGCATCTGCTCGTATGAAGAAGCGAAATTGATCCCGCTCGCTGCTTCAACGCGATCGTTCGGTCGATCGGATCGGGAGGACATGGAGTGATCAGACACAAGTGGGTTCAGAACCTCAATTGTGACCCGATTGTGCTGATTATCTCGTCGAGGCTTTTCTTCGGCACTTGCTCGCACTTGCCAGCGCTCGTGGTCGTGCTCTTGCTCGTGCTTGTCTTCTCCAGAGAGGGAGGGAGAGAGAGAGGGAGAGGGGGAGAGACACAGAGAGAGATGGAGAGAGACAGAGCACGAATTCCGAATCGAGGAATCCTGGGGAGGGGGCTTGTAGTTCGGTTGGCGTATCCACAAGCCTCTCGGATCGATCGGCGGTGTGCGTTTTTTTTCCTCCCCGTCTTTCTTCGTGGCGCTAGCAGTCAAAAGCAGCAGTAATGAAGGGGGAACGAGGGCTGTGGGTCGGGGGGGATCACTCGACAGCCACGTGGCGTTAGCCTCTCGCCCCGACGGTCTCACGTCCCCCTTCGTGAAAAGGATGGGAGCGAGTTTGACGTGCAGACAAAGTCTCTTCGTCCCCGCCCTTCCTAATTTGGCCGGACCATCTCCCCGACCCCCCTCCCACTCGCTTTGTCCAGCGACAGCGACCTACCGAAAGAACCTACTTGCCCGCGGGCATCCATCCATCTATCCATCCATCCGACCGCTCGTCCGTCCGTCTACACCGAGCGGAGGAACGGAGGACGCGACTCCCATCCAAATCGTCCGTTACACTCGACCGTTTCATTCTCTGGGCGGTGCGTCGATGTGACGCGAAACAGCTTTCGGTCTACGGAGTCCAAGGGGAGGACCGACGGACCGAGAGAGAGAGACAGAGAGAGAGCCACTGTTGGCAGTCCTGTGGGTCGCTTTCAGTTTCGGGCTGGAAAATATCTTTTCGGGCTGCTACCAACTGGCGCTCGAGATGTGACCCTCATTCATTGTCTTTGACCGCCGAGAACTCGACGAGGAGCCTCGGTACGACATGCGCAGACGAACAGGTCCCGATTGCTCGAGCATCGCAGCGGCATGCAACGAGAGTTTCTTTATGGCCTGCCGCATCTCGATCCGAGCATGTGCAGGATCTTTCGGAGAGCGTGGACTCGCATGCGACACAACAGCCTCCGTCCCCTGCCTCTCTCGTCTCTCTCCCCCGCACCAGTCCGAAGCGAAAGGTGAAGCGAGCCGGATGACATGAGCTGAGTTTAGGGAGATTCGCTTCGGGCTTGCGTCTGAGGTCAAACCCACGATCTCAGAATTAGTAGTCGCTTGCTGTTGATGCCTTCTATGATCAATCCCCCCTCCCCCCATCCATTTATATAGATAATAAAGCGGGATGTGAAAGGCTGCCTATATTTATTCACCTGAACCAACAAATCGTGGCACTGAAGCCCGAGCAGCCATTGCATATCTTGAAGGAGGAGGAGGAGGAGGAGGAGGAGGATGATGATGATGCTCGTGGGGGCGGGCGGGCGAGAGAGAGAATGAATAAACCGAGGACGAGTGGACTGAGGGGCCGATGGTGGTTGAGAGAATGCGCGAGGGAGGAGGTAAAAGTCAATACGAGCAAGTCCTGGACGACACCACTATTCTGAGCCACATGAATGAACAAAAGCAAAAGATGGTGGATGCGTCTGGAGATGAGTGTCCCCGACCCAGACTCCCATTGTCTGCGTGTGTGTGTGAGAGAGAGTGAGCTGTACGAGACGACATCTCGTCGCGGTCGAAATGTAAATGTAAGTCCCACTCCGATGATGGAGAGAGGGAGCCGCCGCCCACATGCAACTTGGATCCGGCGAATCATCAACCTGCCCCGTCAGCCACTTATCGTACGTCATACTTCGTCTTCATCGTCGTCACCATCACCATCTTACTCTTTACGGTACAGTGGTAAGATTTTCCCTCCCCTCCCCCAGCTCGCCTATCTATGATCTGTTTATCCATCCATCTATCTATCTACTATCTACTATCTATCTACTCACTCGATGCATCCATCGATCCGCCCGACCGACCAACCAGCCTTGAAGCTTTCGATTCCCACTCCGCCACAAAGTCTTGCTTTCTCACGTAAGCCGTTCAATCGACTGGAGGCTCTCGTAGACTTGACTCGAGTTGAGTCTCTGCCTACTGGCTGGACATGCAACTACACGAGAGACACAATTGTGTAGCCCACCTTTACTTCCCTCGGACAGTGTGGTCGTGTTACATGCTCGTTACAGCTCGTCGACTGTGACTGTGCATGGTTTTGTTCTGGCATTTTGCTTTATGTTTTGCGGTTTCGAGTCTGTGATTCATGATACCGCTCTTCGCTTGCATGCAAGAATTAAGACCCAGCGTCAGACATATCTGATAACCGTGTTCAAGAGTTGTTCTGATCAGGGAGTGCCACCCTGAAGATGTATTTTATGTTCATTTCATCGACTCGGCAGATTTGTGTGATGGAAAGAACACGAATTGTCAATTATCAACAAAACCTTCCCGAGAGGAAGAAGAATCCTCGAGGACAGAATCCGATGGTAGATGGTCACGGCAGACACCGAACAGTTGGATTGAATTCGGAATCTATCGCTAAAGCACAAGAAATCTCGCGAATCAAATCTCGTGCTGACGGATGGGATGAACCTATTGTCATGCATGCGTGCCCACGGTTACCGAGGCTTGTTCGAGGTTGCTTTGGTCTTGTATGGAATACATGTCTTCATTATGCGCCAGAAATGCAAAGTGATAGGAGCATTCTGACGAATGAGAATTTTGGGAATCCAGGGGAGGAAGAGACATGGAACTTGCTGTACACGACACGGACGAAGTTTACGCTTCGTCTATAGATTTTGTTTGGGTCCCATGTAGAGTAGCTAGGGACCGTCTTATCGATGGGGGGGCTTCAACTTTCGACTCGTGTCCCTCCGGACACGTGAATGGCCTGACGTCGTTCGTTCGAAATGATGCTCTGAGCCAGATCAAAGCAACTTCAATGCAGCTCTCCGAGGACTGCTGGCAGAGAATTCGCATAATCTGATGATCATCAGCAGTACGTAGCCACTGATCGAGGTTCGAAAATTTCGGCACAGCCAAATGCAAGAGAATCTCACGTGACGTGCAGACGGAAGGAATGAGGTGCAGTTCGACCTCAGGCGAGCCTCCCGTCAACACGATGGAGTGAGCGAGAGCAAGAACCAGGTCTATCTACCTTGAACAAGCTCTCAAAACCATGGGATCGGTCGGAACTCCGGAACCCCACATCGCCACATCCAGTCGCAAAGCATGTGAGATGCAGACTCGGCGTGTGCGCTCACCGAGCAGCCGTTTCAGATTGGACATAGTTTTGCCGCATTCGACAAACACTTTGAGCTTCCGCCTTTCCCTGAATGAGGATTTTGGGATATGGAAAAGCAGAGGCTCATAATAGCAGCTGAGCAGAGGAGCACCATACAAGAAGCCCCACATGCACCTTTCGGCCTTTCACTTTCTTCACATGCAATGAGGAAGAGGTATACTCATGACCTTGTGTCTCTTACTGACATCTGCTTTTCATTTGCTGTTTTCCAGAAATCAATTTGAATATTACTATACATATATAAATCTGTGTGTGTTTGTGTATGTATGCTATTCTCATCAGGGAACAGTTTCGAGGAAATCATTGATGCTAAATTCATGGGATTCGACCTTGCTCCTGAGACCTTGCTCCCCTATTTTTCTGCGTCTTTGTGAACGGTAATATGTTATAAACGGCGGCACTAAGAATGGAAAACTCAAACCTACACAAGGAAACATGCACAGTTAGCAACTGGACGACGGTAGGTCCGAAAGTCAGCTATGCAACAGATGCAGCTGGACAAGGAGCATGCTTCATTCTGAAGAGATAAGAAGAGGGCGAAGAAAAGCAGAAGGGAAAAAGTTGAGGCTTTGTCTCCATGGCTGACAATCCGGTTATACTGGACCTGTCAGCTCGAGGGGATGGCAAATTGGGCACCAAGTCAGATTGTGGAGAGATGCAACATCACCTCAGCCATCGTCAACGGCTTTGTCTGCAAACGGAATATATCCGTGCTCGTCCTTTCCCCCTATGAGTCAACACATTTCGCTGGGAAATATCGTCACCCCCTCTTCGGCATGCTCGATTTCATCTCGGATCTTCAACAATCAGCCGCAAACTGCACCCTCGAGTAAAGCAAAAAGGATGAGGAGCCCCCATCGTGCTCTCCTCCAGAGACAAAAGCAAAGGGGCTGGATGGGGCTGGCCCCAAATGTCACAAACCCACACGACCAAACTCATCTAAAAGTTTTTGAGCACTTGTATTGGTACTAGGGTTTGCCCTATACCACCTATACATGTAAAGTAAATTATACACTTTATACATATATAATTTGTATAATGAAATGCATTATACATGTATACTTCGGAACAGGGAAGGTTGGTATAAAAAAAGACAGAAGGTCTTGTAGTGCTGTATGCAAATGGAAGACTGCGTGAAAAGGAGGGGAATATGGTGGCAGTCATGATTGGAGAAGAGAGTGACCATGATGTAGATGCTTCTGGAGAAGAAAATGAACAGGAATAAAGTTTTTTGACAGTGTATAATAAACATGAAATGAAATGGATTATACATGTATACTTCCGAACCCTAATTGGTAATATGATCATGTTGGTCATGTATTAGCTACAACAATGATTTTTGGATTTGTCTGAATGAAGGGTGTTTACACTTCTGGTACAAGAGTCTTGTCCCAGAAGTGTCTTGTCACAAGACATAGACAAATCAAGGTTTCTCCCGATGCAGAGAGCTACATACATGAAAATGAAAATAAGCAAAGAAGTGAAAGAGAAGAAAGGAGTGGAAGAGAGAACCGGGAGTTATTCTGACATGAAAGTGGCTATCGTAGGCCTCGGGAAGCTATGGTTAGACCAGATATGTTGAAGAGATTTGTCATTGGGGATTGGTTTTGTATGTAGCGAAGGAGGTTTGGGTTTGTCTGTGTTGTGACAGGTTAAATTGTTAAAATGCTGACATGTCGGAGCTGGGGATATGGTCGAACTGGTAAGGTCAATCTCAGGTTCTGTCAAGGCTTCTGGCACAATCCCAAGCACATGTACGTGAATGACGTCAGTCATTCGATTCGTGGGGTTTGCTTCCAACCGAAGGCCATGAGGCGACCTGATCAACATCTCTCGCTCATGTACCAGCGAGCTCTGAAATGCTTGCAGTGTCCCACGCCTGCTGCCCTTGCACTCGATTCACAAGTCCTCGAGACCGCGAAGGGGGCAAGCATTCCTCGAGGACGACATTGTGCACATCGTCGCTGCGGAGTCCCCTCGCCAGGTCACCCCACGCCTGCCAACGTGGAATGTGCAGCGATGTCGACGTGTCGGTGGACCTGATGACGGGACTCGAATGCACTGCGCGACATCCTACGAGACTAGGAGTCCGAGCTCTCAGTCCACGGGACTAAGCGTCTGTCTGCCGGACCGGAGCGCAAGATGGCCCACGCTCAGAGATGTGCACATGCGCTCGGATCATCTGATCCGAACCCATTCTTGTTCCCCCTTGCAGGGGAACGAATTCGTGCTGGACGGTGGGGCCCGGACAGAAAGGCTATGGCGGAGGGGGCGATCGATGATTTTTCGCCCCCGGTCGGTAAGAGCAACGACGGAGAACCTCCTGCGGATCGAGTGCGAGTGCATGTCCACCACGGCTGATCGCTTTTGGACGAGGCCTCGGGACCTCTCATTTCCAGATGCCCTCCCTCCCCTCTCCACAACCCGTCGACAATTATTTCTTCCTCAAGGAGAGGTCGGATCGTCCAACCCTCACCCCATGGCTGCAAATGCTCATGCAGTCCGCGTGGGGTTCATCGGCGAGCGCTCGAAAGTATCGGAGAACTTCGAGCGCTTGGCGCCTGCCTCACATCGTACGCCACATCGAGGACCCGATGTCATAAATGTCAAAGAATTTATGAGCGACCCTCGAAGAATGTATGGCCCGAGAATAGAGGTAGCGTTTTTGCACGACCTTGGGAGGTCTCGTGTCGAGTCTGCGCATATGGTTGAGGAGCTGGTCCACTCACTCCCACAGCAGCCTGCAAAGAGAAGCGCAAACCGATTAACGTGTGATTCCCCAGATCCTTTTCCCGAGCCATTTGTGGGTCTCGTAACTGATTTCCGATGGAATCCAATGGACTCTGAAGACGAGCGAGAGAGAGAGAGCATATACGATCGATACGTACGGTCGTCTTTCGGTGGCATCGAGTCAAGCTTTCGGGTGATGATAAGTAGGAATTGGCCGTGCATGATGCCCGATCCAGTGAAGCGCAGGTCCGAAGTTAGAAGCAGAGATGCTTTATTGTCATGGCAGGAGGCACTAGAGAGAGACAAGTGCATGTCCAGGAGATAGAGCCACATTTCACATAGACGAGTACTCCCCGAACTCACAACTTTCCAACAAAATAGGCACTGGATGCTGGAAATGCAGATAATTTCTTACACCTTTGGCACAGTCGGAAGGTCACAGCCGCAGCTCAGGGCGAGCAAATGTTGTTGGACAGACGTCTGGACAGTGTGTACAGAGTACACTCAGAACTGCAATGAGTGAAGGGAGGGAAGTGTGTCCAGTTGCGCAGTCCCGACATATTGTCAACGCAGCTCTACAATAATTAGCATCTGTTCGAAACTGAAGTCCATGTAGTTGTGTCAGAGGATCTCCACTGTGGCGAGACGGATTACATGAAGAGAACAGACTGTCAGACAGATGGACAGAGCAGTTACCTGTCCTGACGACTAAGCTTCCTAACACCTCTGCTGCTAATTTGTCACTCTCTCGGTAGACTGGGTGCAAAGGATCTGAGAGTACGATTCTGCTGGATCTTTGCAACATCATGGGCTGTTTTTCTCAGACATTTTTATGCGTGACAACTCGGTTCCTTGCATTGTGCTTCACCCAGGAGAGACAAACGACGATCTCCCGACGCACAGACAGTATCCTCTCATCCACGTCCTCATGCCTTCTCCTGAAGCAGCAGCCCTGTTACGAATCTCGCGCCATGTAACAGACATCTTCTGAACTTCTCCAAAGACTGTGGTGCTCGCGAGTTGCTGCTTCCGGATCCATTTGAGGTCGATCTTGTTTCCCTGATTCGGGCTATCTGAGCAACTTAGTTACAGTAGTGGCTAGTTCCCAAGAAGCAAGCAAGAAGACAAATCTGGAGCATGAGATCCACATGGTAAGGAAAATTGGACATATCAGTCTCCAATTTTCCACTGAGCTCCGAGACAAGACCCCCTTCCAATGTTACTGATGCTTTTTCAGCATTCTGGCAGAGTTTTAACTGCTGCAGAGCGTTTCACCTGAATCGTTGAGTTCAAAGTTCGTCCTTTCTCCGCTTCTTCACTGTCGAAATATCATGATCGGTCGACATCACCCAATTACTCTTGAAAGCCGCAGCGAGTTAATTCAAGGAGGCGAGAAACAGGATCACAGCATGACACAGAAGGGAGCAGTATTGCCTGCAGAAAATTGAATTATTTGAAGAAAAGATCAATTTCATCGGATCAGAGGGACGAGCGCATAGCTGTAAACGTCTCGACGAATCTTAAATTTTAGTCAGGAAAACTACATTCCCATCTTTCTCCAATCCGCCACGTGAAAGGGTCATCATATTGACAATCATCTTACAAGCGCTGCTTTAGTCTCGGACCGACAACCGCGGTGAAGTCATAGAACAAGTTGTGAATTTAACTGTTGAAGACACAGATGACGGCGTAAGACCTGATCTTTACTCGAACTTCGATTTAGATTTCGTCACTAGGGAAATATATCTGCCTTCGAAACCCCTCGAAATGTCCAGTCTTGACCTCGGTCGTGAAGGCAATATTCCTCAGACCCTATTTTCTGACACATGCATGGAGGAGGCCGGACTTACTCTGACTGATCGAGCTTTAACCTTCTCCTTGGACGTTCATAAGCACAAATTCAGAAGAGATGGACTACAGTTCTGTCTGTCGTCACCTCTGCGGATGTGATCATTCTGAAAGTTGAAATCTCTGTAATGGGCTTTCGATCGTTAAATTCAGTTTCACTGATTGATGAAAAAGTCTGCCTTATGTCTTCATCTTCTTGAATGACTTACACGGCTGACTAAGTTGTCGTCACTGAAACCTGAGAAGCAGTCTGACAAGTCTGAACGTACGAAATACTTGTCACGTAATATCACTCTGTATTTCAACAGTAATTGGAGCAAGACCAAGTGTCAATTCAAAACATGCTTCGGCATCGCAGTTATGCATTTGCACTTCCTAACCGTCCAGTGCTTCAATGAGATGTTTTCCGCTCCAAATAACCGAGTGGGCATCAGCTGTGCAGTCACTTTATGTGTGCATGTCAGTTCTTTGGAAGAGAATGCACAGCCGTGGTGCATCGTGACAAATTGATTTAGGTGCAAAAGACCCCATCAACTATATCAACGAAGGATGTCTTGTTACAATGATGCTAAGAACTCCTCGCTAGTTTCTGCCTGTAGCCACGGATCGTTTGATTCGTCTTAGGACTCTAAGGGGTTGAGTCCACAATTGCGTCCGCCTGGAACTGTTGGGAACAGACGAATCGGACTTTCTCAAATCCATTTGCTTCTGATCGGTGTAGGTGGACGACTATTACGAGGAAAGGCCAGTATGAACAGACAGAGCCTCTTCGGTAAGTATTAATTTACTGGATTATCGAGGGTTTCCCGTCCCTTCAAACATACAGAGGAGAGAGATCTGGAAGGTGTTATCCAGATCTCTCTGACCGGAGAAATCATCTCACACTCTGTCGATGCATTCTGCACTCCAATCAGTCCACGAGAATGGCAAACAAGGTCGGTGAAAGATCATGAGTAATGACTTCTATCTGGAGTTTGATATTTTCCTGATTGTCGTACTCCACTTTCTACTAACCTGTACGGTTTCAGTACCAATATACATAAAAGAGATTTCAGTCCTTCCCTGTTAATTATATTACTCCCACACTCACGTACCTGCAGGTAGCAAGCTGATGATAAGCATTGCTGACAGCTGGGGACTTGGAAACATATTTACCGGTGTAGCACGATATGAAAGGTCGTCCCTGAAACGCATGTACAGAGATGATACACGGTACGGAGGAAGCTCAGACCTCGACTTTTCCATGAAAGATTTATTGAGGCTGCAGTCTTATTATATATGAACAAACTCCGAAAATTAGAATGAAAGGTCGTCCCTGAAACGCATGTACAGAGATGATACACGGTACGGAGGAAGCTCAGACCTCGACTTTTCCATGAAAGATTTATTGAGGCTGCAGTCTTATTATGTATGAACAAACTCCGAAAATTAGAATGGTGCTAAGAATATAACGAAGTAGAATCAAGATTGTAGACATCAGAAGGATCATCGACTGTTAGGACATCTGTCGTTGACAGGAAAGCGACGAGGATTTTGAGATGGATCAATGGAATTAGAGGAGGAGGAGAAGTACTATGAGGTCCAACCTGGACATGATGTATCCAAGATATCATGAGTTTTGTTGAATACCTCATGCCAGTAGAGCAGGTCTAAACCCGATCACATGCCTGGACATAAGTTACCACCTACAGAGACAAGCCCTCAATCAAAATCTCCTACAAGAATGACTCTGTGAAGAACAAAGACGATGGTTAGAATTAGTAGCAAAGATGGGCGTCATCGAACGGCTCCAGGCATGAGATGAATCTGACTTCTTCGACATGATTCTTGTAGATTCTTAGATAGCCCCTCGGTAGATAAATCTTCTCGAGTTTTCCAAGCACATCTCTTACCATCACACTCTGCGCTAAGTGAGTAACGGCAGAAGGCAGTGCATGAATTCCATTCAGAAAACTGCAGCAATTCGAACAGGAGTGTGTGGTTTTCGAGTTCAAGCTCGACTTCGACAAAGTTATGCGGACTGATATCCAGAGGAACAAGACTGAAATTGATAATGAACTGCAGGCAAGTACCTTCATCAGCCTCTGAGCAGCACAACAAAACAGGACAAAATGGCGTCTCTCTGAAACCGAAACCCCCGAGTCCAAGCGGAAAAGGAGAGCAGGAGCTTGGCTCTGACAAGTCTCCTGTACATATTCAGGGCGGAGCGACAAGGCTACGACGTCCGGTGCCGACGTTGTCCCACAATAGTTCGCGAGCATCATCTGTGCAGTGGCAACAACTGGCACAAGCTTTCAGGCCCCACCTGCGAAACAATCGACAAGGCATAAAGCCCTCCTCGGCACTCTGATTGCGTCGATAAAGATGAAAGCTTGCAAACAGTTGCGAGCGAGGCGGGACCCGCAGTCGATCGACGATGCCAAGGAGCCGGAAGGTTCTCTCCGTGGGGCGGGACCAGCATTTTCCTCTTGTGGACCCAACAAATTCTCCGTACTTACTTGCAGTCTACGCAGCTCAAAAGCATCGAAAGGGAGAAAGGAAGAAGAGGAGAGAAATTCCGGACGAGAAAGTTCTTTTGCACAGGAGAAATTTGCCTTCCCTGCAGCCAGAGCCAGAGCTAGAGCCAGCCGCCTGAAATGAATGTGCCATGGTAGTAATCCAGAAGCTCCAGATGCTCACAGCTCACAGCTCAACACTTATCTTCAACCACAACCGCATTTCAGCCACCAGCCGGAACCAACATCGAGCTCACAATGTGCTCTGCATGGCACTACACTGCGGCCTACGAGTCACGGCACCCATCGGCATTGGCATTGGCATTCCCGTTTTCGTTTTCGTACGACCGATCGGCACGCTGGATTCTGCCGAGCATGCGAGCTTTCGGTTGTGCTTTGCTGCGCTGAGGCTGCGTTGCCAGCTGAATATTCGTTGAATACCTTCGTCGATAAAAAAAACACACCGAGAGAGAGAGAGAGTGAGAGATGCCGAGTGGCCTATCCATTTTTTGGGACGCCCCTTGATCTAAAACTCGTCGAGCTGAAGTGTATCTTACGAAGTTCTTCTCTCTTTCATCTCCATTCGGGAGTGTGTCCACCCAGGTGGACAGACGGGCATGCATTGGAGTAGGCATGCCCGCTTCTTTCGACTTCTTCCAGTCAACGAGGGGATGCAGTTGAATATTGCTGATCCACTTTCCCAGAGCAATCGTAATCGCTTTCGGCATCCCGACTCGCGAAAGGCGATCATTTCTCCGCTGTGCCAGACGGATTGTATTTGGCCCTCAAAATAAATCATGGATGCTGATCTCTGTGCAGTCTACTCCATGAAGGAACTCGACGGCATGAGCGTTGTAGATTCTTCCGGTGGATCCCCCGAACCCGAAGCACGAGGTACTGACTTGTTACGGCAAATCAATCGTCAATCAGTCATCCACTACCGCAAATGCTCTTACTAACGAGTCATCGACGATCCGATTCGCAGGGAGAATTCAGACCGGGCGCGACCGCGCTATTGCATCATGTACGAGTTCGCTTCGGTATCCCGCAACTTGCTCTTGATCCGCAAGTGGTTCATCCATCATCAATAAACCCTGATCCATGGGGCAGGAAACATTTTATACATTGATTGCACGGGCGAACTTATTTCCAAAAGTTGCTTCAGTAAGGCTTATTATTACACTTCGTACGTGTGTCTCTGTACCTTCTCGACTCCCACGTGCCTTGTGGATTTCTCTTCGACAGTGGTCCTTCAACAGTCAAATATATGGATATAATTCGAGAACACTGATGTCGAGAAATTTGTTCGTTAGAGGAGATCGGCTGAACGCCAAGTGGGAATTTTATCAGGTAACGAACCTTCTACTTCTGATATTATTCCATAGCACTGAGAGAAAGTCGAGATTCCAAGTTGCTGAAATTGCAACTTGGACTCTCGACTTTCTTTTCGTTCGTCACAATATTGTTTCATTTTTCCGTCCATGTTCTTCTCGAGGAATTAAGAATCTGGGTTATATCCGAGTCCATATAACAGTCCAGTTCGTTGGTTGTGAAGAGAAACTTGAATGACAGTTTCAAATAGAGGCCTTGGCGTCTCGCGGAGTTCCATGCACCTGTTTCGCGAAGACTGTGCTTGGTATTAGCTATATTAAGGAGTCGATAAGGAGTAGATATGTGTTGCGTTAAGGTTGTAGACTAGAAATGTGTGCTTGTTATTAGCTATATTGAGGATGTCGATTATCGTCGATGATAACCCTCCGCAACGACCTAAGTCCACCCATGTTATACAAATTACACCAATTCTTGGTTGGATTTTGACCAACACTGCCATTAGCATTACTTGTGCCCACCGATGGAATAATAGTGTCACCCAAAATCCACAGGCATGGATGCGTTTGGGCATGGGTTGTTGACTAGAAGAGAGTCTAGGCTGTAGTAGATGTGTGTCGAAGTAAGGTTGTCCAGAACAGAGTATAGACAGGCTATAGTAGATGTGTGTGTGGAGTTAAAGGTTATCGACTAGTATAGAACAGAGTACAGAAAGCCTACATTGTGTTGCTATTTACTAATAGCCATGGTCTTGTGGTTTTCTTAACCACCCGTATGGGTTTTCTACAATCTAGTTACTTCTGCCGTGTTTTCTTTGCAGTTACATCCTCTTTACACATATAATCTCTCCCAAATGATAGTTGGTAAATAGATTCATTCTCCATCCAAAAGAGAAACCTAAAGAGCCATCTCGCTGGTGGCTAGAACGAAGACTAATAACATCCCTATATATAACAATCAAATTCATGCGGTAGTGAAGAATAGAAATGATATGTAACAACTTTATGAGCAACTCTAATATATATAAATCTAGTAAATATAATAAACACACGTTCTTCATCCTCAACATTTCTTACTTCACATAAACTACAAAACCGTTGACTTTTATAAATATTATGCCAACGTCTTTCCTCAATCTCTAGACTATGAGAACCGATTATATGACGTGAAATAATATGAGGTAAAAATGTAGAATTACTTGCAAGTAGATATCATTGTTGACAATAAACAAGCATAGGATGAACATGAAATCAACTTTGGTGCTAGACTTGCTCCAAGAATGTAAAGAATTCTTTCCTATAGATGTTGGTAAAGTGCCATTGGTTGCAAATTCCAATCCAGTCCCGTCACATTTCACTTCAAATGAATCAAATAACCACTCTTTGGAGCGTGTGTCTTGCAAAGCTTGGTGAGATGCGAAACATTAAGAAATCTCATCCATGTAATGTAAGTGATGATCAAGTCAAGAATTTGAGTTTTGACAGAAAAACAAACTATTTTTGCAAGGAGAATGACATAGGAAGTTTTCTTTTTCATCTTCAATTCTTCTAGTAAAAATATCTTCTAAACTATCTCCAAGTGACTCCAACTTGTCTTCTTACAACCAAGATCTCACACTTGGATACCTTATAAAACCACTACCAACACTAAACTGTTAAATAAAAATTTTCTTAGGTTCCAAGACACAAGATGAGCTTTTCTAGATTAGCTTAACAATGAATATAGAGCTTTGTACGCAATGTGCCTAACTATAATCATGGAAGAAATTGAAGTCTAAGTATTTGTAAAACTTCACTTCCAACTTTGAATCTTTGTATTAGAAAGAAAACTTGGATCTAATTTCCATCATAATGATTTTTGATTTGTCCAAGTTGAACTTCATCTAATTTTGGATTAAAAAACTTGCCAAAGTGTCAAGGTATCTCTGTAAACTAATGGCATCAAGTGCTAGTGATATGATATCATCTGCATACAAAAGAGCTTTGATGACAAAGTCTTCAAGTTTGACATCTCCAGTTTTACATTCTTGCAATCACCTTTCTATATCATCTATGAAAATTCCAAATAGAGAAGGAGAGAAAGTATAACTTTGAAGAATCCCGATAGTACTTGAGATTTCTTGAGGCGGAAAACTTTGATTTGGTCCAAATTGAACTGTATAACGTGAACACTGCTCCAAGAAGATTAGACAATATTTCAAGGTCTTATAATCTTTTTTGTAAAAGGTTACAAGAAACAGTGTCAAAAGCTTCATTGAAGTCAATGAAGTCACAAAACAAAGCTTTATCATTGACATTAGATTTTTTTCATAATACATGTGTTTTCTTTCTAAGTTTTCTTTTGCAGCCATCAAGTTGGAGTAAAATCATAGATGGTACATCTTTCAAAACTTTGTTAAAAATAGATTCAATACAATCTCCTATCTACTTGAAAAGTTAAGTGGACGAATCATCTAAATCCTCACATTTCCCATTTGCTAGTCTTGTAAGTAGAGTCATCAATTTTTCTTCAAAGAAGAAACTAGGTATTGATTTGCAATATGATATAGAGTTAACTTCACAAAAGAAATAAAGCTTTTCAAAAAAAGCTTTCAAAAACTTGAAATTCAAAGAAAAAATTGAAAATGGTAGAACTAAACGTTTTCAAAAAGACTCAGGATCCTTCATCAGCTTCTTAGTCAAGGAATCTTGCTTTTGCCTCAAAAAATATAGTATCTTAAACTTCACCATATCTTTGTATATTCTTGATTTGTCTTTGGATATTCAAATATCTATCAACATATGTCATCCATGCTAGCTTGCACTCAATGTCAAATCATCCATTACAAGGTCCTAGTACTCCAATTCCTATGTTGCAAAAAGAATTTAGATGTAGAGTTTTTGAACAATATTGTGAATTGCAAATTGGCGCGAGTCAATAGATCATGTAAATGTAGCGCACAAAGATTTATTTTACAAGGAATTAAGTGGAACTCGGAAGAAGCTAAAATAAATTGACAGAGTAAAGGAGTGAATGGCTTTAACATTGAAACTATAAAAAAAAGAGGTGCATAATTTGATTGATGTTGAGGATTAAAAAGATCAAAAGTAAAGATAAGAGAGTTGTTAATTGAGGAAGACAATAAAAAATCTATTGTGCTAACACCGATATAGAAGAAAGATATATTGGATTGAGAGTTGAAAAAGCGAGAGGTTACTGTAACACTAGGGTAGAGAGAAATTCACTCAGAGATGTAAACATAAACTCTGAAGATGAGAGGTCCAAACAATGGTTCTCCTCTCCCTTATATAGCTTTCATTAACAACTACAATGAGATAATGTCTTATTTCCACCATCCATCCCACTACTAGTGGATGTATTACGTGGCGGATAACCATAACAAGCACACTGATTGCTGACGTGGCGCTACCAACTAGCACGCTCAATCCTTACCTAACAAGCACATGGATCGCTGACATGGCGTTGTCAACTAACACACCTACTCTCTACTTACAAAGCGCGCGGATCGCGCTTTCTAGTGACTAGTGCACGCTCAAGTGTTTTTATCAACATTTAGAGTAACCTCTACTTTAGATCTAACTAACTAAAGATGGTTACAGTTACATTTTAAACTTTCAAGTTACGAATGTCTTCAAAATTTAAAAAAAGTTATGTCATAGAATTTATAGATTGATTACAAGAGATTCTAGATCACAAACTATCTTGAATTTCTTGAAAAAGAAAAGAAGCCAAGGAGTTACTAAATTGAACACAACGTATACAATAACATTGAAGAGTTTAGCTAGAAGGACATTTCTTTTGCGCTGATATTTGAGAATATCTCTAATGAGTCGATGGATTGATTGATTTTGTTTGCAAAAACATGTTGAGTAGATATGTATGGACTATGATGCAAAATAACAAATTGCCAAATAAAAATAAGATTCTTCAACCAAACCAAGATAGAGCCAATGATATTGGTCGTCGATATCTTCAATCATCTAGATGTATGAGAGGTAGAAATTGAAAACTGATGAAAGTAGCAATAACTCTATTGTGTTGTCTTATCTGGTTCCATGTTGATACCACCCAGGTTAATCGGGGCAATTCAGTACTAAGTATAATTTTCATGTTTTCAAATCTCCACAATGTTGATGATGTTCAACATCTCTCAAATTGAAACAATAGTCATAAATTCTATTGTTGAAAGTTTTTGGATATTCCACATCAACATACTTAGTTTCTTGGATTTCTAAGTTGATAATTTTCTTATTTTTTGGATAACGATTATGAACATACAGTGTGTAAACTAACTACTTGGTGACAACAATGTTCACATCTTCATTCTGTGTTTTTTTATTAACAAGATATTCTAACATTCTTTATATAGGTATTGTAGATTGGTTGGCGTTTTTTATTTATTGCTCTTCACAGTAAGAGATATGAGGAATCTTTGTAATTTCAACATACAATTTGAATTTTGGTACAAAAGTGTCTTTCATATTATGGATTACTCCACTATTGAGATTAGTCATTTGTGACATTGTTTAGGCTTGAACATACGTGATAGCTTCGGAAGTATGAAACATAACGCTAGAATTCTCTTGCATCTCTGTTCTAAAAACATCTTGTCAATTTTTCAACTTCCAAATTTGAATATATGCAAGAGTAATTTGAGAGGTTTGTACCTTGATTCTTGCAAAAATCCATTCAACTCACTTAAAATTTGTGTATACAAGTTCGAAGATTTCATATTGAGAAATCATTCTATAATCACAACTTCAAAGTTCCAGTTCCGTTTCGGCTTCTGGCTTTCTTTTGTATATTTAAGTTACGTTCGGCTCCTTGGCTTTCTTTTGTATATCTAAGTTAGGCTTGTTTGCACTGGAAACGTGATCTCCTGATTTAGATGCATGCCCGGCTTAGTATCCCACATAAGTGCAAGCGGTGTCTGCCGCTTTGCAAATTTGACGTCTCAAGTTTAGTATAATGAGGTTAGATGCAACGGATAGAATAGACAAGTACAAAATAAGTACAATCTGCTAAAGAGTGTTACAATGTAAACCACTCAAGAAAATTTCACCGACAAGAATTTGTTACACATGTACTACAATACTCTCCTTCCATCCACGATTGCCATCCCCGTAATCTTTGCTACACAAAATATACCTTCCCCCATGCTACATACACCTGGTCATTGCAACTGGTAGCAAAGGCTCCATAGTAGGCCGTCGAGCTCAGCCATTCCGAGCAATTTAACCCTAGCTTTCCTCGCGTTCCGTCCACGATTGGGATTTCTGTTCCACAAAATTTACCTCCACACTCCTCTGAATCTATATCGTTGCTGCCAATGTTTGTTATAATATTCGCAACTTCATCAATTCCTCCTTTCTTATTTCTATCATCTCGCAGTAATTAGTAGGACTTGCTTCTGGCTCTTGCTGCACCGAAACCTAGCCAGCAGGACATGTACACGGGGAGTACGAATTAGTAGTACGAATTAGGATTCGTTAAGGATACGCTGTTAGGATAATAACTCCTGTCTGCTGACAGCTCGCCCACTGCTACCTCCTCCAGCCCAGTAGGAAAGGTCGAAGAAAATCCCTGAAGTTGTGAACTTTTCAGTTCCGGAAAGGGTCATCAAGGCCAAGCTCATCGAGAAGAGGAGGCTGTGAGTACCCGAGTCGAGTCGAAAGTTTGAAGAGTCCAAAATTCTGTACTCCCAAAAATTGATACATATACACGAAGGAATGTCAGCCCAGCATGATCTGGAAAGTGATCCCGGCTTCATTCCGTGCCTGCCTTGGAAGCAATGAAGCGATTATAGAACATGCCACTTATAAATAGATCAATCAATGTAGATCGCACTCGTGACGGTGTGTCGCACAAATGCTCTTCACGGGATTGAAGAAATGGCAAAGGTATAAAGTGCCTTTGTCAAGAACTCGCTTGGATCCGCCAATGACGTCGAGGATATAGATGCAAACGTTTAATGATCAATGCATATGATCAGGAAACACGGTCTGCTACTGAGGATGGTCGGAAGAGTTTGCTCGATCGAAGGGAAGTTGCAGCGTGAAGAATCGTCCGTCCGTAAAACACAATATTTGCCAAATCCCAAATCTCTCACGGATAAAAAACAGAATGTCCAATGCTCTGAGGAGCAAGTTTACACGTTCCACTCGTCGAAAGTGCTGACCGAACTGTAAAACAACATGTTCTCGTTTAGGAGGGATGTCTCCTTATCGCAAAGGCTGCTTGAGATGAACTTCCGCACCGCCGTGTCCTTTCGACGGGCGCGCTCGCGGCACTGCATCGTAGCAAAGTGGGCATGGTCAGTTTTGAGGTCGAGCAGGTGCTCGTCCACCTGCTCGACATCCAACTGCTTTAGGCTGCGCCTGCGGATCGACCTCATGGGCAGCCGCAGGCGAGCAAAGAGCAGCAGGAAATCGGCGAGCGCGCGGATCTTTGACATGCGTTCCAGAAACAGGAGCCCGATCACGCAACAGACGACGGTGCCGATGCAGGTGGTGGTCACCATGTTGACGTGCAGCCGGGGGACGGCCGGGAGCGAGGCGAACCCGGCCGCGGCGAAGGCCCCCAGCACGAGGACGACGGAGACGAGGAGCAGGCAGGAGGTGAGCGCGAGCCAGCGCCGAATGCTGGTGACGGAGTGGCCGATGTACACGTCGGACATGGGCAGCACGGTGCCGGCGCCGGCCGTGACGGTGGCCAGCGAGAAGAAGAAGGAGAGGCTGTTGAAGGCCCAGAACACGCGCATCTCCTGGTCGTCGCCCTGCGGGGGCTGCAGCCAGCCGCCGAAGGAGACGCTGGCAATGAGCGCCGCGCCCACCAGGATGGCGTTGGCCGCGTCCACGAACACCTGCCGGTCGCGGTACAGGCGCTCCACTTCGTCCTTCACCTCGGGCACCGTCTGCAGCATCTTCTGCAGGTCGCGCCCGACCTTAGGGTCGGCGAAGCGGTTCTCGATGGCGATCTGCAGCACGGCCCGGCCCTGGCAGTCCTCCTCCGTAGTGCGGATTCTTTTCTTCGTCGCGCGACTGATGAAGTGCTCCACGGACTCGGCCGCGCCCATCAGCACGGCCCAGTGCAGCGGCGTGTAGTCGCAGCAGTCCACGGCGTTGGGGTCCACGCCCGTCGCGTCCAGCAGCTCGGCCACGACCGCGCCAACGTTCGCGCCGGGGAAGGAGCAGGCCATGTGCAGCGCCGAGCGCCGGAAGCTGTCAATTTCGTTGAGGTGCGCGCGGAAGGTCTCGGATTTCGCCAGCGTGCTCACCACGTCGCGCCTGTGGTCCAGCACGGCGTACTGCAGCGGCGTCATCAGGAATGTGTCTTTGAAGTCGTATTCATGGAAGCGGAAGTCGTCTGTCTCGTACCACGCGAGCAGCAGCTCCACCATCTCCACGTTGTTGGCGCACACCGCCAGGTGCAGCGCCGTCCACCCGCCCCGCGTTTTGGCGTGCAGCATCGGCACCAGGTTGAAGGCCAGGCGCGACAGCAGCCGCGCCACCTCCAGGTGCTTGCCCACCACCGCCCGGTGCAGCGCCGTGTACTCGTCGTCGTCGACCGCCGTGTTCACCAGGCTATTGAGCGGCGAGTTGTTGAGGAACTCGGCCACGAACTCCACCTGCCCCGCGGCGCAGGCCCAGAGCAGCGCCTTGCGCCAGACCTCCTCCGGCACGTCCGCCCCCCTCGCCACGAATTTGCTCAGCTTCGCTGAGTCTCCCAGCGCCAATTTGAACTCGTCCATCAGCTCCCTCCCCGCCGTGCTCACGTCTTCCTCTTCGCCCTCTGCTAAAGCCATGCTTCCCATTCCGCCCGATCTCTCCCCGCCCCTGCGGTGTCGCGGCGCGATGAATCCCGGGCCAATCCTCTGATTCTGCTTCCAAGGCACTAATATTTGACTTTGCAGAGCCGAAACCCTGACGAGGAGGTCTGCTTCCTAATCGGACCGACCTGGCGCCTTGGTCCGGCGACCCACACACAAAGCGCACATTGCTCCGAGCTGCGGAGCTTATCAGCTTATTCGATCGGGGCGCCGGCGAGAAAATTTCTCTCGATCCATACTTATACGGAGCGGCCGACCCAAGGCGATTTCTGAGAGCCTCAGCTCCAGGAAATCGAGCCATCTCATCTCGCTCTTGCGATATATCTCAAATTAACTAACGAGCTTGCCTTTTCTTCTAAGTCATCGACGATCCGATCCTCTGCGCGAGCATAATTCTGTCCTTATTCATCCGCAGAGAGAATTCAGACCTGGCGCGACTGCGCTATTGCATCGTGTACGAGTTCGCTTCGGTGTCCCGCATCTTGCACTTGATTGGGAACCACTTGCGGGCCGCAAGTGGTTGCCGATCTCGATCTGGTGTCGCTCCAGCAAAAGGTGCTCGTCATTTGATCCTCGACGAATCAAAGCACGGTCGCACAGTCACACTTGGCAATCGTTGACTTTTTTTTTGTTTTTTTCAGTCTGCTTGCGCCTAGCAGCCCTCAGACTTGCTTCGACCTCATTGTGCTGAATGCCGCCCCAAGTCAGTGTTTTTCGGTTCCGGGAGCACTTTCAGTCCAACTTCAATGAGTGTTGTCCATCTGTCATGACATTGTCCGACGACTGATTCCCTATTCGTCCAAACTGCACGAGTGGATTCCATGTTCATGAAACCTCCGCTCCAGACGGGGAGGAGTGCTACTCTTGGACATTGTGGTCGTGTTACAAGCTCGTAACAGCTCGTCGACTGTGACTGTGCATTGATTTGTTCGGGCATTTCGCTTTCGATTTTGGTGTTTCGATTCTGTGATCTATGATACCGCTGTTCGCTTGCATGCACGAATAATGACCCAGCGTCAGACAAATCTGATATTCGTGTTCAAGAGCTGTTCTGATCAGGGAGTGCCACCCTGAAGATGTATTTTATGTTCACACGACTCGGCAGAATCGTGTGAAGGAAAGAACGCGAATCATCAATTATCAACAAAAACTTCCCCAGAGGAAGAAGAATCCTCGAGGACAGATGCCGACGGTAGATGGTCAACGCAGACACAGAACAGTTGGACGGAATTCCGAAACTATCGCCTAAACACAAGAAAACTCGCGAATCGAATCTCGTTCGTGTCAAGTTTGGGTCCCACGTAGAGTAGGTAGGGACCGTCTTATCGATGGGGGGCTTCAACTTTCGAATCGTGTCCCTCCGGACACGTGAATGGCTAGACGTCGTTCGTCCGAAATGATGCTCTGACCCAGATCAAAGCATGCTCAAAGCACTTCTCTGGCATGGAATTCGCAAAATCTGATGGTCATCATCAGTACGTGATCGAGTTTCGAAAATTTCAGCACAGCCAAATGCAAGAGAATCTCACGTGACTTTCAGACAGAAACAATGTGGTGTGGTTCGACCTCAGGCCACCATGAACGAAGACCAGGTCTATCTACCTTGAACAAGCTCTCAAAACCTTGCGATCGGTCGGAACTCCGGAACTCCACATCGCCACATCCAGTCGCAAATCATGTGAGATGCAGACTCAGGCGTGTGCTCTCACCGAGCAGCCGTTTCAGAGTGGACATAGTTTCGCCGCATTCGACAAACACTTTGAGCTTCCGCATTTCCCTGAATGAGGATTTTGGGATATGGAAAAGCAGAGGCTCATAATAGCAGCTGAGCAGAGGAGCACCATACAAGAAGCCGCACATGCACCTTTCGGCCTTCCACTTTCCTCACATGCAATGTGGAAGAGGTATGCTCACGACCTTGCATCTCTTACTGACATCTGCATTTCATTTTCTGTTTTCCAGAAATCAATATGAATATTAACATACATATATAGATCTGTCTGTGTTTGTGCATGTATGGTATTCTCACGGAACAGTTGCGAGGAAATCAATGACGCTAAATACGTGGGATTGGACCTTGCTCCTGAGGTTTAACCCCATATTTTTCTGAGTCTTTGTGAACGGTAATATGTTTTAAACGGCGGCCCTAAGAATGGAAACCTCAAACGTACACAAAGGAAACATGCATAGTTAGCAACTGGACGATGGTAGGTCCGAAAGTCAGATATGCAACAGATGCAGCTGGACAAGGAGCATGCTTCATTCTGAAGGAAGAAGAAGAGGGCGAAGAAAAGCAGAAGGGGAAAAAGTGGAGGCTTTGTCTCCTTGGCTGACAATCCGGTTATACTGGACCTGTCAGCTCGAGGGGATGGCAAATTGGGCACCAAGTCAGATTGTGGAGATATGCAACTTCACCTCAGCAATTTTCACGGCTTTGTCTGCAAATGGAATATATCCGTGCTCGTCCTTTCCCCCTCTGTGTCAACACATTTCGCAGGGAAATATCGTCACCTCCTCTTGGGCATGCTCGGTTTCATCTCGGGTCTTCAACAATCAGCCGCAATCTGCACACTCGAGTATAGCAAAAAGGATGAGGAGCCCCCACCCAGCTCTCCTCGAGAGACAAAAGCTAAGGGGTTGGCTGGGGCTGGACCCAAATGTCACAAACCCCCACTACCAAATTCATCTAAAAGCTTTTGAGCACTTGTATTGGTATTCTGATCATATGTTGGTCATGTATTAGCCACCACAATGATATTTGGATTTGTTTACAAGATTTTTATAAACTATTTTCTATTTACACTTTCATGTAGTTTTTGGTTTTACTAAAAATAGTAGTCGCTTAGGGTTTCAGTTCGTAGGGTATAGCGTCGAAGGAGACTCGAAGAAGACGTCAATTCTTCGAGTCGAGCCTAGCGCGTTGGGAGTAGTGCCCGTGAGTGTCAGATCTGGAATCTCCGAGTGTGGAGTGGGTTGGGCTTGACTTTGTTTGTGTCGGTGACGGTTTTGTTTCCAGTAGGGTAATAAGAATGACGGGAATTCCAGTGGGGAATGTCTTGTACTTTTCACTCGAAGAACTCATTGACGTTCGGGTTTAGTTAGAAGCTCAGGCGAGTTTTTGATTGTTTACAGTAATTTGAAGTCCTGGTGATTTTGATTGGTGATTTCGATCTTGTTTGTGGTAATCTCGACTAGAGATTTGAAGTGTATTGATTTTCAGCGGGGCTCAATCCTGCAAGGTTTGTTCTGAAGAGTCTAGGGTTTGAGGTCACACTCGGGCCCGTTTCTTCAGCCTGAAAAATCATTCGTGTCGAGTTTGAATTTCACATGCCATATCTTTGTTGTCTTGCAAGTGGTGCATGCTTCTTTCTTGGCGAATACGATTACAGAAGCTAAAGAAATCTCCGTGCATGGCTACCATTGTGTGAGCATAGATCGTTGACAGTGAACTTTGAATCGATTGGAGCTTGGCTGAGCTCTGGTGACAAGGAGAGAGGCCGGCGGGTGAAGGAAGATTCAACTGAGTAGAAAGCAAAGATCATGGGTTTGTAGGCCGCTGGTCTTGTGTTACGGAGAGACGTGAATTTCTCTCGGTCTTTGGGGTAGCAGTTCTTCTGCAATGGCAATGAAAGAGGAGTTTGTGGTTTGCTCCAGGCACATGTAGGGTACGGTTAGAACATTGCTTTGGAAAGGAGACTGCCAGGGCTGGAGAATGGCCTTAAGTGACAGCATATGTTGCGAGCAAACTGTACGCTTGCGTTAGAAAAGCAACAAGGTATGACTCAAGTGGAGTGAAGGTTTTCTTATGCCGGCTTTTACGAACCAGGATTGCCACTTCGGGGAAATTAGGTTGAAGCTTTACAGAAACTCTAAGTGAAGTTTTTCCGAAACTTACTGTGGGTTCGAAAACCAGGGTCATCTTCCATCAACTCAAGCTTACGTGGATTTCTTTTCCGAGTCTCGAAGACCTGCTCTAAGTTATTCACCTCGAGAAATGTGTCCAAATGACTGAACCTCTCTCTCTGTGTACCATCTGAGGTCGAAGTCTATCAGCTGCGGAGTGTGCCGAGAGTAGTCTTCCTGAACGGAATATGCATGAGTAGGACCCACGGAGTCCCATGATGAATACATGTACCGAGAGAAGTCCGTTCCAGTATGAAGTGAAGCTACGCCGAAGTAGAGTATGATCGATAATGTGTTGCGAGAGAGTTTACAACGGTGACTATTGGTCACTGGTGCTAGTAAATGTAGGGTGAAAAGTTACTTAAGACGGTTTGCAATCCTCCGAAACAACAATTTCAGCATTACATTCTCCACCTCATACGCATTAGTTGGTAGCTGAGGACATGAGTATTGCTTTTACTATCTACGGCCGAGCTAAACTCATCGCTGCAACAGACGTATAAGAGAAGAATAACCGGATCAGAAGAGGGCTAAGTTTGTGAGGATCAAAATTTTGATTACAGGAAGATAGACTATAGTGGAGCATTTCAGGTTTGAAGGAGAGCAGAAGACTGGTAACCTTGTGATAGCTCAGGTTTTTTGTTTTATCGGAATTAGAATAGAAGGTTGGGAAATTGCGGTCGGTTTTAACCTTTGAAAGTAGAAGTAATTAGATTAGAGTAGAATAGCAACGTAACGGGCTAGATGAGGTAGTGGTAGTACTCAGGAGGGAACCTCAGACGTTGCGTTGGCCCTCAAGAGGGCGGTTATGTCCGAACCTGTGAGAACAAAAGAAGAACTACCTCACTTGAGTACCCAGACAGGTACTCAAGTGGGGAAAGGGTACTCAACCAGAGTACGTGAGGACATCGAAGCTTCAGGGTCACAAAGGGGTGACGGGTACCGGATATGTTAAAGATAGTGCCGACCGGGAAAGAATTCGAATGGCGGCACCTTCAATTCGCACGCATGGGAGATTGTTGCGACGGCGGGGAGTACCCAAGGAGTCTGGTGCTCGTCGCTCGCATTTCACGAACACATTGAGACATCGACGCGGGATAGAGGCGCGCGGACGAGAAGAGCGAGAATTAGCGATGGCGCGGCCGATCAAACTCCACGCTCTACGAGTGATCGAGGTTGGCTTACGAGCTTATCGTCGTGATTTGATGCTCGTGAAGATGGAGTTCTTATTGTGAGGATGGAATTGGACAAGCAACGCAATCATACAAGAATGGGACAACAATGGATTGCCGAAACCGCCGGGTTACAAAGGCCATCCTGACACCTGGGAAATCTGGGACTGGAAGAAGGTCTGGGGACGAAGTGCAGGTGACGACGGCGATCTCACATTCGA